TTGTGGAATGTTAAAAAAGAATTATTAAACATAGTGTTTGTGCTTGCTTAAACAACTGTTGTTTGATGGCTTGTGTAACTGATAAATTCGTTGTTTCTGAAACACTTAATATCCCATATTCAGAATGTGACTTTGTTGAATTTGGAGGAATTTGGTACGTCTCGTTTTTTAAAACTTGCCATATTCAAGATGGGGTGTTTTCCTTTTCTACCTGTGGGCGGGACTGTGTTTCTGGTGATTTTGTTTACAGGTGTTATAAGTATAACTGAAGCATGAAGGTGGTGATGAACGTGCATATGATTTTTGAAAATTTCCTGTTTCAATATAAAGTTTCATGTTAGTTCGAGTAGTTCGAGTGCTAAGTACAGCAAGTCTTTGTGCTGGCTCCGTGTCAGTTGCAGGGATTTGTCATGTTGGTCATTTCGCTTTGCTTCTTTTCTTCTAGTGATAAGCTCGGTATCAATTTTATAATTGAGCTCAAAATCATGGTATTGATGAACAAATTTTCCTTTTGTTTTGGATCATGTGGGCTTCAAGTCGTGATCCATTTATTTGGTTCATGGCATTAGTGGTGATTTGTCGGTGTTCTTGCTGCCGTTGGATGCTTAATACTTGTACAGTTTCAGTTTATAGACATTAATTTCATCAAGGTTTATTCGGATACATACAATTTGTACTGGTTTATAATAACCACTTCCCTTATGTCTCAACAAATTCTCTTTTGTGATTTTGAATATTTACAATATTTCTTTAACCATGAATTAGGTATTTAAAAGCTCAAGTTACGCAAGAAACTCTGCTGCGCCTGCCCTAAAACAGGCTGTACCCAGTAGCAACCAGCTCGAACACTCCAAGGGTCCAGCCCACCAGCCAAAGAAATAATAATAATGGAATGCAACAGAGATGAAGCCCTCAGGGCAAAATCACTTGCGGAGGAAAAATTAGATAACAAAGATTTCACCGGTGCCAAAAAATTTGCCCTAAAGGCTAAGACCTTATACCCGGGGCTAGACGGCATCACCCAAATCTTGACCACACTCGACGTCTATTTATCTGCCGAGAACAAAATAAGCGGGGAAACTGACTGGTATGGGCTCCTCAACGTGAGCCCATCAGCTGATGATGAAACAATAAGAAAGCAGTACCGTAAATTGGCCCTTATGCTCCATCCTGATAAAAACAAGTCTGTTGGTGCAGAGGGTGCTTTTAAACTCATCTCCGAGGCCTGGAGCTTGTTATCCGATAAGGTTAAGAGATTGGCTTACAATCAGAGGAGGAGCTCCAGAGGACTCCAGACCACGGTCCAGATGCAAACTGGTGGGCCGTCCGCCCCTCCAAAGGCAAACGGGTTCTTTAACTTTGGAAACAAGTCTACACCTGTTCATAGATCTCAGAACAATGTTTCAAAGCCAAAGCCACCCCCTACACAAAGTTCTGCCCAGCCAAATCCAAGGCGTGATACTTTCTGGACCATCTGTCTTAGGTGTAAAATGCATTACGAGTATCTCAAGGTATACCTCAACCATACCCTCCTCTGCCCCAACTGCAACGAGGCCTTTGTGGCGTCCGAGACGGCCCCACCTTATAATTTCACTAAACCGTTCAGTCAGGCCCCGCCACGTCAGCAGCACAATGCTCCGCCAAGCAATTACTCCCACGCCCCTCCCAGTCGTAACAATGCTTGTGATCCTGCAAAAAATTGCCCCCCTCCAAAAAATTTTCCCGCTGCTCAGAAGTCGGGCCAACCTGGCATGAACTCGTTTGTATTCACTCAGCCGCAACAGGATTTACGCCCTGCTCAAAAGTCAGGCCCACCTGGCACGAACTCGATCGGATTCACTCAGCAGCAGAAGGATTTATGTCCTGGAAAAGCCAATGTTGGCCTCACAGACCCCACCATAGCTGCGAAAGCAGCCAGCGTTGTTCAGCAGGCCCAGGAGAGGGTGAAGAGAGGGTATAACGAGATGCATAGGCCCATGGGGTGGGAGGGGTTTCAGAAAAAGACGAAGTTAGACGAGAGTAGTAGCAGCAGGCACGGGACGAACAACATCACAGCCCATGGCAATAATGCTTCTTCTGTTCCTAGGGGCAGCGGGAGTGCACCAGGATCAAATTTTTACGGGTTTTCCGGGGTTAACCATTGGGTGAACCGAAATCGGGAGCTGACGGCCACTGAAACCCGCACTTTGCTGATTGTGAAGGCCCGAAAAGAAGTTCTGAACACGCTAAAGTGGTTAGAGGCAGAAACAAAGCCTATGGATAAAGGGAATGAAACGGGTAAAGAGAGCAAGAGGCAGAGACATGAAGAAACACCAAACGATAATGAATATGACGAAAATGGGGGCGCAGAGGGGCCCACGGCAGCATCCATGAGCGTTCCTGATCCTGATTTTCACGACTTTGACCAAGACAGATCAGAAGGCTCGTTTGGGGACAATGAGGTTTGGGCTGCTTATGACGATGATGACGGAATGCCCCGTTTCTATGCCCTGGTCAGCAAAGTGGTTTCGCGGTCCCCGTTTAAATTGAGGATCAGCTGGCTGAATTCAAAAACCACGAGTGAATTCGGGTCCTTTGACTGGGTTGGGTCGGGGTTTTACAAGACCTGCGGGGAATTCAGGGTGGGAAGGTATGAGATCTGCAAATCCATAAACTCATTCTCCCAGAGGGTGAACTGGTCCAAGGGCCCGCGCGGGAGCATCCTGATACTGCCTCGAAAGGGGGACGTGTGGGCACTCTACAAGAACTGGTCGTCTGACTGGGACGAAAATACCCCTGATGAGGTTATACATAAATACGATATGGTGACCGTGCTCGATGATTATAACGAGGAGAATGGCGTGAGTGTGGCTCCACTGGTGAAGGTGGCCGGTTTCAAGACGGTATTTCGTCCCGATTCATGCCCCGAGACGATCAGGAGAATTCCTAGAGAAGAGATGCTTCGATTTTCTCATCGGGTCCCGTACCACTTGCTAACCGGCCTCGAAGGTGCAAATGCTCCAAAAGGGTGCTTGGAGCTTGATCCAGCAGCTACACCTTTGGAACTTCTTCAGGTTGTGACGGGAGGTAATGAATGAAGTTTAGAAATTTGCGATCTTTGTCTCGTTTGGTTAAATGGTGACTCAGGCTGTGAATACTGCTGAGGTGCATGCATGTATCTATATGTACACAGAGTCGAGAGCCCATTTAGGCAAGGAGACTAAGGATTTCTGAAGGTTAGACGATAATTTACCGGATCTAAGATGTGGATGCTATTGGGAATATCCGCATTTTGATGGATGCTATGTTAATTTTGCGATCTTCTTGATGTTTTTTTGGGTTTCTTTCGAGATTTAACATGGGTTTTGGCTGTAGATTGGATTTATAGACGAGATGATGAGAAAATGGAGTCCTGTGTTATTCCAGTTGGAGCCAAGAGATTTGCTCCAATGGCTGGATAAAAGGTGGTCTTAATTTTTAAGGTATAGAGTTATGTGGTTTTATTTGTTTATTTTTCTTTGATTCTGCTTCGGATAACATATGACCTCTTTTTTGTTTTGGCTACTATATGATTGATGATTTATATAGATTTTGATGGTGTTTCAGTTTTTTCGCCCTCATTTGAAATGTATATTTCATGGTAGAAATCTTTTGGCTTTTGGCTCTTGTATTGGGGTTTATTTTGGTGAATTGCATTGTCAGCTCTCGTATTTTATGGAAGCTACATATACACTAATAATATGTAACAGTATTATTTGCATTTTGCGATATATGTGTTTCGCGTGAATTTGGTTTCTGCTGCTGAAATATATATTTTTTCTCCTTGGAAATAACAACTTGTAATACAAATAAATTCAAGATTTTTAGGACACTTTGAGATTTTAAATTTTTTTGGTGTATTTGATTTGGATTTTTTTTTTTTTTTAT